TATATTACTACCGAAACGCGTACACAAAGCGTTATAGGTTTCATTGGATCACACTAAATGGAACCAAATTGACCACATCTGCATCAAAGCGAAATTAAGAAGGACCATTAAAAACGCGAACATTAAGAGAGGAGCTGATATAGCTTTCGATCATCACTTGGTAGTGGCCCAAAGGAAAATGAAACTAAAGAAGCAGTGGACAACAGGGAAAACAGCATCAAGAAAGTTTAATACCGCCTTTCTTCAATATGCTGTCAAACTCAACGAAGCACCATCGCAAGGAATGGATCTCTGTGGAAACTACGGATAAGATTCAAGAAAGAAAGTACACGAAGATAGCAATCAGTATCAGCCAAACAAGAGCAAAGAAAGCCATGACACAAGCTGAATATACAGCCGTAAAAAATCAAGGGAAGAGGAGTACTAAAGATGATAAGTGGAAATGCGTTGAGGATCTAGGGATGATAGCAGAAAAGCTGGAAGAAAAAGAGACATGAGACAACTGTACGAAACGTCGAAGTAGCTCACTCAGAAGTACAGTAAACTAGAAGGACCAGTCAAAAACAGGAAATGGAAAGGATCACCGACATTGAAGAACAGCGATACAGTTGGGTAAAGCACTTTGAAGAACTCTTGAATCGACCAGCCCAACGAAATCAACCCAAAATCGAAGCAGCACCTCCCAATGGATCTTGACCCACTAACTATTTTAGAAATCAGCTTGACCCTCAGAAAAATCAAGAGTGGTAAAGCAGAAAGACCAAACAACGTTCCAGCTGGGATTCTGAAAGCAGACATAACAGTAACTGCAAAGACACTTCACATTCTGTTCAGCGACATTTAGGAGGAAGAATAAGTGCCAACTGACTGGAAAGGACACCTCATCAAGATACCAATGAAGGGATCTCTCAGCAAGTATGAGAAAAGAAGAGGCATCACTCTTCCCTCAATACCAAGAAAAGTCTTCAACAGAGTTGTTGTTAAACAGAATGAAGGACTCCGTGGACGCTCAACTTCCAGATCAACAGGCTAGATCTCGTAAGGTTCGATCGTTTACCGACAGAATTACAATCAACTGAATAACATTCAGCACTCTACATCAACTTCACTGACTACGAGAAGGAATTCGATAGCGTGGACAGGAAAACACTATGGAGGCTTCTTCGACACTACGGCGTGCCTGAGTAGACAGTCAGCATCATACGGAATTCTTATGATGGATTGACCTGCGAAATCGTGCGTGGAGGACAGCTGACGGACTCGTTTGAGGAGAAGACTGGTGTGAGATAAGGTTGCTTACTCTCAACCTTTCTCTTTCTCCTGGTGATCCACTGGATTATGAAGACGTTAACATCTGGTGGGAAGTATGGAATACAGTGGACAACTAGGATGCAGCTGGATGATCTAGACTTCTCAGATGATCTGGTTCTCCTATCACGATTTTCAATGCAGACGTGAAAACAGTTCTAATGTATGGAATGGAAACTTGAAGAACCATGAAGCCCTCATCCAGAAGATAAAAGTGTACATCAACAGTCGTCTACGCAAAATACTTCAGATCCATTGCTGAGGCAGTATCAGCAAGAGACTACTATGGGACAGAACAAACTAGATTCCATCAGAGTAAGGAATCAGGAAAAAGCGCTAGAGGTGGATAGGAAACACATTGAGGAAAGCACCCAACTAAGTCACAAGACGAGCCTTCACTTGGAGTCCTAACGGTCAAAGGAGAAGAGTAAGACCAAAAAACACAATATGCTGAGAATTGGGGACAGACATGAAAAGAATGAACAGTAATCGGATGGAAGTGGAGAACAAAGCTCAGGACAAAGTTGGTTGGAGAATGCTGGTCGGCGGCCTATGGGGGGTAACAGGCATAATTAAGTGAGTAAGTAAGTACTGAAATCATATTAAAACAAATCCACTTATATTTATAATAATAAGGATGAATGCACGTCATATAAAGGGTTAACATTTCAGTAGAATTTTATCTTGAAATCAAACTAATTACTAATATATCGATTATCGAATAACTATTCAATTTTTTGAAATTTAGTAAACCGAAGTCATACACTAATGTTTTGTTAGTTATTGACTAGTATTTCTGAAACGTATCCTTCATAATTATATCGTGAGTAATCAGACTAGTAGAAATATATAAATAAAGAAAGAGATAGACAGCTAAATATGCTAAATATCAAACATTGAAAGAATTCATATGCCAGATTTGTTCTAAAATTAGGAAATACCATTAGCTAACAGTTATTGTGACTATTTTTACTAAAACTATTATAAACACTATTATTCCGAGGTCAGAGTTATTGATTAGATTGTTGGTTGATTTCCTTTGCTAAAATAAAAATCTATAATAATATGTGTATTACGCAAAAGAAATATACTCAAAATACTGTATGATGCAATAAACGAATAGATGAGATAAGGTTTCGATATTACTCTGCTTACAGTACATCAGTTACATTTATTAATATTATTAGACATTCATTATAGAGGTAAGTTAATTTAACAAACGGTTATAGTGTATTAAGATGAAACATATTATTTTTGTATAGTATACCGATTAATTTTTTGAAACTATTAGTTATTATATCATAGTGTACTTAACAAAATTGAACTGCTCTTTAAGTATTTTCATCTTCAAAGAAAAATAAATCTACTAACAGAACAGATGAAAAGTGGAAAGAATCAGTTAAATATCTCATATCGATTGACTAGTGTTTTTAGTGATTTGAAAGTCTACTGATAATAGAATAAGTAAATAAATGAATAAACTGATTTTTGTTGTCATCATTTTGAAAATTTATTTCTGAATCAGTTATATCTTTAGGAATTAATCTGGATTACCATCCTGTAGACTGATTTTGTTACAGTCTCTTATTTATTGAATGGTTGAATGTATGAAACATTGGATTTTGACTAAATGGTGCCGTACTTGTCACAAAACTTCAAGTTCATGTGGAGTCTCTATGGAATCTAAAATTATAAAAGATCTGTCAATAGTTATCGTATTTTCAAAGGTTTTTTAGCAAAGATCACTTTATGAAGCATTCCACCTTCAATTCATTCCACTGAAACAAAATCTACAAACTTAAATTATCTAGCATGGTTTTAATGTAACAAGATTTTATAAACTATATTGAATTACTCTTCAGACAATCATCCAAAATTTCGGCTTTTAATTTGGAAGTTTAAACTGTGTTATTAAGAAATAAGATTCATTTAAATAACGCTTGATCTGAGAAGAATACTAAAATGAACTTTGTTAATGATTACAATTATACCAATCAACTGATTGACTAAATTTCTGTCCACCCTACCGTAGCTTGAAATTCTAAAATGTATAATTAAGATGTAAACTTAACTAACGGTTATTATTCTTATAATTAGATGATTCGAATGAATAATTTATCAAATACAGTAAATTGTAATTTGATTTGCTGTTAACGGTAATTTACATCTAAAACTGATAATAATTACAGTTAAAAACAAAATGATTTTCTTAAAATAGTTTAATCTGACCTGCATAAATTTATCTTATGGAAAGTTTTGGTTCGCGTATTTGAAAATTATTGATATTTGTATAAAAGTGGTTTAATTCTGTCGTAAAAATTGTTTGAAATGCGTAGATCTTATTTTACTAACTTATGATTTAGCTAGATAACTGTGTAAGAGTAATATTCAGCATTTGAAATTAATCCCTTGTTTAACAAGTTGTTGTTACTTTTTTCACCCTCAGGGAGGAATCATCTCTGAGATCATTACTAAAGTGGTTTCAAACATCATGACTAAATAAATTCTGATTGCGATTCCGTTTTTCCAATTGATGGTCACTATCTTGAACACTCTACTATTAAAAGTGGTATTCTCCCCTTAGGCGATCACTTTTAAAGAGAAATTCAATCTCCACAGAGATGCTTACTAAGAGGGTTAATACAGTTCAACAGACTCTCACTCCTTACTAATGAAGATTGTTGTTTTTAAAACACTTGTATAATCAATGAAGTGAATCAGTACACTCTGGAAATCTTCGGCTTTATTAAGCTTAAATTTATAATAAACAAATTCCTAATATGTATATATATCTTCCATTGCAACGGACAGGTCAAAACACTTGTGTCAATTCATTTCTGTCTAAAAATAAGAATGAAATAATCATCGTTAGAGAAATATATTAGTGAATGTAATTAAGGCAGTACAACCTCTCAGTCTGGAAAGATTTTTGACAAGAGTATATACAACATACATTAGGTCAAAAGTACTTACTATATATATATATATATATTCTGAAGTATCTTTCCATGAAAAATATACTTAGTGTATAAGCTAATACACCTATCAAATCAAATCTGTTCAATACGTAACGCCCGCCCTATTTCATCTTTATAAATATTAAACTCAAATAATTTGATACTTTAAATTGTAATCATAAAAAACACTTGAAGTTTATAAATATCTTTATATATTTCTAAACTCTTGTAAAAATAAAACAAAACAAATTTATGCATGGATTTTTTTAAACAAGTCTTCTGTGATATTGTTTCTCATTAAAATCATTAATAACAGATACCATTCTGTTATTGTGTTATTGTTTTTCAGTTAGTCTTCTGTAAAGATTTTATTGTATTGAAATAATCAATGACATTGTAAGGAAAACAGACAAATAGTACATCCTGTTTAAGAAAAAAAAAATTAACGAATTCACATTACACAGAAAATGTGTCGTTACGAGCATTTCGTTTGAGATAGGGATTTTTGTCTACTGTTGGAATGTGTATCGATCGCTAATTTGGTATCAAGTACAATGACTAAAAATGATTAGTAGCAATAGTGGTAATGCTGAGATTAATTATACATTATTTTCATTTGGAATTTGTTAATTTGTCTGTTTGTTTTTCATTCAGTAGGACAACTGACACAATATAAATAAATAGGTCCATCTGGTGTGATAATATTCCCATGTTTTGGATGATAATCGACATGTATCAAATCTTTTGGTTTAAACCAGACTCTAGTCCTTCAGAATAAGGTGCTATAAAACGTTTTAATCGATATGGTCTTACATTATCGGCTGACATCCATTGGAATTCTTGAAATGGTTTCTGTAATGGTGATGTAGGATATGGTGCATTGACAGTATCATATTCATTGTAGTGAACGCCATAGTTATCTGCAGCATTATTGTAATTGCCAGTATTAGTGGCAGTGATAGTAGTTGCAGTAATAACATTACTAGTTGTATGATCAGGTGAAGCTGTTATTGTTGATATATGAGTAGGTGACAGAGATCTTTCTACTTTGATTGTTGTCGGTTTTGTATATGTTTCAGGATAATTTTTGGATATGGAATGAACACCAGATTCATGATTCATTTCTACTGATTTGCTTGTAGTAACTGATTGTTTTAAATCAGGTGATAATGAAATTTCAACTATATCAACAGTAGGTCCAGCGATTGGAACAGTAAATTTTCTTTCCGATTGTGTACATCGATTTCCACAAAGAGTGATTAAAGTGTTCACTAATTGTTCACGATCTGTACCACTTTTTGTACAGAGTATAACATATTCTTTTTCAGATTTATATAAACGTGAAGCTATACCCAAAGCTAATAGATTAGGTGTTGAATAAAATGTCACTAAACAATTGATTTCACTTAAATGAATACCATTCAATATGGAATTAGGCCACCAATAAGCACCAGATAACCATAGTTCATCATTGGTTATATGTAATCGACACCATTTTGAAGGTTTATGTTTGTTTTTCAATTGTTCACCATGTCGTTTAATTAGTGTTGTTGAACTGAACTCATCATCCGGATCTAATTTTACATATTTTTTAATCATTATACGTGTTGATGCAACTTCTTTTCCTTGACCATTACGCATGTTTTTATTGTGATTTCTTTGACAAAACTACTACTGTATGTTGGATAAAATTAAAACAAATTTTAACTAGATGAAATAAGAGAAACTATCGACCTGATTTAATAGATGAACTCACTAGTTTATTGATTTTTTGTTACTGTAAACTTGAATTAATTATATATTTTTCGGCTAATGATAATATTAATAATCCACACTTCACTGGTATTACCTCCGGAAACAGTTCGGTTAACTAATCAAAACTATTGAATTTTGAATAAACCCCCCGAAGAAAAGTGCGAATGAATTGAAAAGAAAGTGTTAAAAACAAAAACAACACAACAATCACTAAACTAGCATAATTAATGTGTGTGTATTTCTATTTCTGTATCAACATAGAGTTTGTGATCATTTGAATGGACAAAAAATATAAATTTGTATATTCGACCTAGACAATGAAATACCAATCATAAACTCTATAAATCACGTGGTTTATGTTGAGAATAGTAATAGCGAAAAAAAATCATTCGAAATTGAATTTCGAAAAGAACAAGAATATGATGAAACCATTTGCCTTAATCAGACGTTATTCTGTGTTCCCCTTCTTTTTCCTTATGGACTTGTTTTAAGATGAATCTTGATTTCCGTGAAGTTTGGTTCATCCACCTCCAGCCTCTTGGCTTAGTCTCTGATACAGTAAATTATCGTTGATGATCTCTGCCGAATCACTGAAGTGTCTTGCTTAGACACCTCCTTATAAAAGCCTGTACATTTTTGATGATGGTTATAGTAGTTCTTCAATCCACAACACCATAAGATAGAACTGTCTTGAAGTTGTTATTGAAAGTTCTGACTGATGTTAGCCGAAAGTTCTCTTGAGTTC